TTATATTATTTTTTTTAAATATTATTTACTTATTTAGATTTTTTTAAATATTTTTTTTTATTTAAACATAATAAATATGCGATCGTGTGGATATGGGTGGAAATTTTTTGATGTAATAATAATTTAAAGTTTCATTACTCAAAAGTTTTAAAAATTCCATATTTTTTTCTGTGAAAATTCTCACAATTCTTTAATTTTACATTAAAAATCGAGTATATCTAAAATTTTTAAAAAGGCGTGTTATATTGGATATTACAAAATTAGAACTATTAAATCAAATACTAGATTTTTAAACATTTGAATAAAAATAATATACAATAATATATAGCTATATATAATTTTAAGGAAAAACATAAATAGTTCAATAAATTCATATCATTTAAAAATTTAATTAATTTATTTAAATTTTACCTATTTTTAATATTACGAAAATAAAAATATTTACATATATATAAATGAGAGAAAAGTTTTCTTCCAGTTTAGGGGAATTAAAAAATAATATTAAGAAAAATTCTTATTGCATCAGAATCTAAAATTACGCCAATTGAAAGAAAAAAAGTATGCAATTCTTAAAACTTTTAAATAATGAAACTTTGAATTATTATTACATCAAAAAATTTCCACCAATATCCAGACGAGCACATATTTATTATGTAGATACTTATTTAGTGGATCTATTGTAATTAATATCACATAAATTATGATGGCTAATATAATGTAATTTATATTAATACATTGAGATAAAAGACCAGAGGCTTCGACTGAATCATGAATTGAAACCTCTGAATTAAGAGTTCTATTAGAAAAGTAAAATAATACTTCACCAATAGCCTCAAAATTCTCATAAATAATGCGAGATGTTTCCAAATAACCAGTCCACCTCTGGTCTAAAAGTCTCTTAAGGGTGTGGCCTGTATATTTACAGGATACGTTAAAACGCCTGAAAAAATTATACAATCTATTTGATAAATTAAAAAAAATTAGAAATAATAACAATATTATTATACCAATTTTGAACCACAAGATGCAACTTGTGGTTGTAGCAATGTATAAAAGGAACATTTTTATTAATTTTTTTTTGAAGAAGTGTTTGCACTCCTCCATTTCGGCCAGACATAACGTTTGCACCATCATATGCCTGGCTTATTATATTAGCTGAATTAATATTTAGATCATTAAGTTGCTTTAAAATGCAATCTGTAATGCTTTCAGCAGAAAGTCACTCTAAATTAATGATTCCTATTAAATTTTATTGGATTTCTCCAGAAAAAATATAGAGAATTATTATGCTCAGGTTTTCACAACCTGAAGCATCTTTTGTCTTGTTATATTCGCTTGTGATCGACGATTGCTAAGTATTAATTTGAATATAAATTATATTTTTATATAATTTGTTAGTTTGTGAATATATGATCGACGATTGTAAAATATTAATTTGAATATGTAGTCTATGAATTTATTTTTTTTATGAACTTGAATAGATTTGTAATTTTAATTATTTTTTATGAATACTTGTAATTTTTATTATTTTTATGAATTTTTAATATACTTGTAGTTTTGTTTTGCATATTTAAAAAAAATGTATATAAATGGGATAAAATCCCAAATAAAAAAGTTGTCATGTTTTATGATTTTAAAAGGCTTTAGTACTATTGTGCAAGATTCAGGATATTAATAGCGTGGTCTCTAAGGAATTGTAACATTCGTAAGATTATTTAATATTGGGTAAAAATAAAAATAAAAATAAAACAGGATAGAAAAAAATTTACAAACTAGACATGTTTGTAGAATAAATATTCACAATTTATTTTAAAAATATAAAAATAATTAATTCTAATTAGACATATTTTTGAATATTTTTGAATAAATATTCAAAATTTATAATAAAAATATAAAAATAATCAATTCTAAAAAAAAATTTCAAATTGGGGGGGGGGGGGCAGTAAAATTTTTGGGGGCCAGGATTTTTTTTTTGGGGGGGGGGCCGGGGTAGATCTAATTAAAGAGACGGCTATTTTCGGCTTGAGTTTATAAAATGGAGAAAGGTATGATTTTTTGATTGATTTGGATAAGAGATCTAATGCCGCTTGTTCAAAAGAGTAGGTTGATGTAGCTTCTATGGGAACAAAGTGATTGTCACACTCTAGGTGTAAGTATTTTTGATTTTTAAGAGATTCAGCTCTATTAAGGGGATCATGCAACTTATTAGATGGGGCCATGAGATCAATGCAGGTAAAATCCCATATTAAAGACTTTCCCATTAAAAAAGGTACGAGATGTCGGTTCTAATACAAGGAAAATTAGTTTTATTTAAAAAGAAACTATTTTTGTATGTCAGCTGATTTTTGATATAAATTCACAGTGGAGAGCATGTCGCTTATATGCGTCTGCCGATTGATTGCATTTAATGCAAGTATATTGGTTTAGGAAAGGATATTGGTATAGGAAAGGTATACCGAAGCGTAAATTGATTGCATAACGAAAAGTGTCGTTATATATTAGTTGGTTATTCAAAATGCTGGGATATATGTCCAACCATTCATGGTCAGAGTTGTTAAATTTAAGTGTTTTAGGATGGATTTATATTCGTGATCATCTCTCAAATTGAAGTAAGCTAAGGAACGTGTTACCAATCCTTGATCCCAATCTTTTTGTTTCGTTAATCTGGTGGGGCTGTGATTGGTAAGGCATTATCATTCCAGCTAATAAATTATCTTTATCGATGGTAATAATTTGAGAGGTAATATTTTTTACTGATTTGGTAAATGAAATGAAGGAAACAAGGGCTATACTTAATTCCCTTAGGCTTAGTTCACCGATTTTACAAGGGAGAGTTGCTTGAAGCCATGAGTTAGAATCGAGTTATATTTAAATAAAAAAAATAATATTAAAAATTTATGCTAGTTTCAGTGAGTTACCAATTTTTAATATTAATAAAAAAAATGGTTAGTTAAGAAAAGGACACCAAAAACCCGAAAAAAATAATATTTCTGCTTTGTTCTAACAACAATATTCTAAAAGTAGTGGCGATTTTTGGGTAAACCTTAAATAGGCAAAACTAAATTTTTAAGCGAAAACTATAATTCATCTCTATCTTTGAATTATAGTTTTGCTACAAGGCTTAGTGAAATAGGAAAACAGTACAGGAAAGAAATAGTTTAATTTTAATAAATCTTTTAAAAGTTTATAGAGATTTAAAATTTTCACTTAGGTAGGTTATTAGTTATAAAAATAAATTAATTTAAAAAAGTAATAAATTTAAAAGATATAAAAATTATCAAAATTCCCAATAAATAAATATAATGATAAACTAAAAATATTGCTTGGAGTCCCTATTAGTATTAATATCTAAGAATTTATAGAAAATCAATATAAATTAAAGTTATAAAATTTGATAAGTGTGATATTACTTAAAATTTAATAAATATGTAATATTTAAATTAATTGAAAAATTATTATCTATAGTTTGAATAAAATAAAATTTTAAAATAAATTTGATAATAATTTAAATAT